CCCCGATCAGCCCCCCCTACCCTGATTGGGGGTGGGGCCAGCCGGCCAACCTCCCATGCCCTCTCCCATCAGGGTGGGCCGGCTGGACCTCACCCGTGCATGAATTTGTGCACCGGGCCTCTAGTTTTAAATAAGTATACTATGTTTCAGTTCTAAGCAGTATTATTAGTATGTTTCATAGTTGGAAAAATAAGAAAATTTGTACTCATTCTATTTTCTCCTCTTCACTCTTGATTATTTTACTTTGTCAGTATCTTTAGAGCATTTATAGCCTGGTCTGTATCCCCAGTTTTTTCAGTATTTAGTCTTAGTTTTATATTTTAAAGGATTCAATATTCTCCACTGTTTTGTTTTTAATCCTCACCCAAGGACATGCTTTTACTGATTTTAGAGAGGGATAAAAGGAGAAGGAGAAAGAGAGAGAGACATTTACATGAGAATGAAACCGCCATCAGTTGTCCCTGGCATGTTCCCTGCCTGGGGCTCAAACCCACAACCTTGGTATGTGCCCTGACTGGGAATCAAACCTGTGACCTTTCAGTGTATGGAACAATGCTCCAACCAACTGAGCCACTGGCCAGGGCTACACTGGTTCTTTTTTTAAAAATGTTTTTATTGATTTCAGAGAGACAGTGAGAGAGATAGAAACATTAATGATGAGAGCCATTGATCGGCTGTCTCCTGCATGCCCCACACTGGGGATCGAGCCTGCAACCCAGGCATGTGCCCTGACTGGGAATAGAACCATGAACTTCTGGATCATGGGTCGATGCTCAGCCATTGAGCACACCGGCCAGGCTGGAATATCTTTTAATATTTTATTGTCATATGTATTTTTTCCTACATTAGCTGACCATTCCTGATCTCCCTGATCTTTGTACATTTTTCTGTTGGGTCAGCCAACATTAAAAAAAAAAAGTAATTTGGCTGAATAATGTTACAATGCTGAAAGAGTGAGGTTTGGAATAGCTTGCACATTTGTTTAAATCTTATGCTGCTGATTTTAGTCAGAATAAGAATATTAATATTTCGTGTGTACTAATATTGTGGACTTGAATAAAATGATTATCTTGGTGATAGAACTAAATAATCTGTTAGTTTTCTTTTCTTTCTTTTTTTTGTTAATCCTCACCTGAGGATTTTTCCATTGATTTTTAGAGAGAGTGGAAGGGAAGAGGAGAGATGAGAGAAACTTCAATGTGAGCATTGATTGGTTGCATCCTGCACATGCCCTGAGATACTGCAACTGAAGTATGTGCCATTGACCAGAATCGAACCTGTGACCCTTCAGTCCTCAGGCCGACACTCTATCCACTGAGCCAAACCACCTAGGGCTCTGGTAGTTTCCTAAATCATCATACATTTATTTACCTGTTGTTTGCTATTCCTTGTAGTTAAAGTGTATTATTTCTCCCCATTTGGCTTTATGTCATAACATAGTGTAAGAATAGGTTTAACTGTAGGAAAGCAATTACATTGCCAGAAAGTTGCAGAGCTCACCTTGGTGAACTGATTTTTCTGGTAATCATTGTTATTAGTTCTGTTACTTGGGTTTATGGACCAGAGTATGAATTTAAAATGTTAAGGATATATGAAGTAGCTTCATAGGAGAGTTTGGCAATCATGTGTAGGGTTTCTCTAATTTTCCAGTGAAATTCCCTTAGTGACAAAGAGAGCCTACACCCGGTTAAAGGAAGGCACCTATAAGTCAGAGCAGCTCTCTGTAAACCTGAAATTTCTTGAAAATACTGGGTTGTGCCTTAAACACTTGTTAAAAATCTCTATATATTCTTTTTTTCCTCCTTCCCTTCCCTCTTCCATTCCTTCCATCTCCAGTCGTCACAAACCAGTTAAAGATCCAGACACATATGTCACTTGAGAGGAACACCATGTGGCCTCATTTTACTGTGGAGGTGGTTGGTCTGTGTCCCCAGAGCTCTGTGGACAAGCATATTTTACTGAGAGGTACTGAAAATCACATCCTGGTTTATCTGTAAAGCAGACTTCTAAGAATGAGAAGAAACTTGAAGGCTTTTGAAAATATCTCAAAGAATTGTAAAAAAACTCTTGAGAAAAAGAATCCCCCTTTACATCACAATAGTGAACAGATGGAAAATGAAAGATTGGCATATTCTGTAGACCCTTGATATTGAATACTTGTGTTTTTGATTTTTTGTCAGTTACCTTCAAAGCCTTTAATATTCATTTGCTATTTTAAAAAGGTATGCCTTGCAGTCCCTTCAGGTGTCTGGAGCAAGTCACTTGGCTGGTTAGTGAATGGGCCCAGCTGACCTCCTAGCGTCATACAGCCTGGAGGTTCTTTAGTCTTCAAGGCTACAGCTTGGGAGTTATAAAAATCTTCATTACTCTATGGAAGATAATTCCCCAAAGAAATTCAACTTAAGAACTGGTGATGAGCCTGGCCAGTGTGGCTCAGTGGTTGAGTGTTAACCTATGAACCAAGAGGTTACTGGTTCGATTTCCTGTCAGGGCACATGCCGGGTTGCAGGCTCAATCCCTTTTTGCAGGAGGCAGCCGATCAATGATTCTCTCTCATCATTGATGTTTCTGTTTCTCTCTCCCTCTCCCTTCCTCTCAGAAATAAATAAAAATATATTTAAAAAAAGAGGTATGAGGAAGTTAAAGCTTTTAGTTAGCAAATAGAAGTTACGGATACATTAGAGAGTAGAATGTTAAAATTTGGTGTCTTGGATCCACCTATTCTAGGTGTAGGAAAAGCAATTCCTAATGTTGGATGAGTGCTGGGCCATTGCAAACATTGCTCATTATTTAGAGCAGCTGTGGGCAAACTACGGCCCGCGGGCCTCCGGCCCGTTTGAAATGAATAATACTAAAAAAAAAAAAAGACCGTACCCTTTTATGTAATGATGTTTACTTTGAATTTATATTAGTTCACACAAACACTCCATCCATACTTTTGTTCCGGCCCTCCGGTCCAGTTTAAGAACCCATTGTGGCCCTCGAGTCAAAAAGTTTGCCCACCCCTGATTTAGAGCCAGTTGGAGATAGACTTAACTCCTGGTGAGTCTATGCATCAGGGTGTGTGTAATTTGTAATTCTTTTTTTTGTTTTGTTTTAATTAAATCTTTATTGTTCAGATTACATTTGTTCCTCTTTTTTTTTCCCCCCCATAACTCCCCTCCTCCCAGTTCCCGCCCCACCCTCCGCCCTCACTCCCCACCCACTGTCCTCATCCATAGGTGCACGATTTTTGTCCAGTCTCTTCCCGCATCTCCCACACCCCTTTCCCCCCAAGAATAGTCAGTCCATTCCCTTTCTATGTCCCTGATTCATTATAATCACCAGTTCATTCTGTACATCAGATTATTTATTCACTTGATTCTTAGATTCACTTGTTGATAGATGCATGTTTGTTGTTCACAATTTGTATCTTTACCTTTTTCTTCTTCCTCCTCTTAAAGGATACCTTTCAGCATTTCATATAATACTGGTTTAGTGGTGATGAACTCCTTTAGCTTTTCCTTATCTGTGAAGCTCTTTATCTGACCTTCAATTCTGAATGATAGCTTTGCTGGATAAAGTAATCTTGGTTGTAGGTTCTTGCTATTCATCACTTTGAATATTTCTTGCCATTCCCTTCTGGCCTGCAAAGTTTCTGTTGAGAAATCAGCTGACAGTCGTATGGGTATTCCCTTGTAGGTAATTGAGTCTCTTTCTCTTGCTGCTTTTAAGATTCTCTCTTTGTCTTTTGCTCTTGGCATTTTAATTATGATGTGTCTTGGTGTGGTCCTCTTTGGATTCCTTTTGTTTGGGGTTCTCTGCGCTTCCTGGACTTGGAAGTCTATTTCTTTCACCAGGTAGGGGAAGTTTTCTGTCATTATTTCTTCAAATAGGTTTTCAATATCTTGCTCTCTCTCTTCTTCTGGCACCCCTATAATTCGGATGTTGGTACGCTTGAAGCTGTCCCAGAGGCTCCTTACACTATCTTCGTATTTTCGGATTCTTTTTTCATTTTGCTTTTCCGGTTGGGTGTTTTTTGCTTCTTCGCATTTCAAATCTTTGGCTTGATTCTTGCGCTCCTCTGGTCTGCTATTGGGTGTCTGTATAATATTCTTTATTTCAGTCCGTGTATGCTTAATTTCTAGTTGGTTCTTTATCATAGCATCGAGGGTCTCATTAGTTTTCGTGACTCTCTCCTCAAGTTTATTGACAGCTTCTAGCACATTTTTGCAAGCCCTCAAAATTGCGATTTTTAGCTCTATATCCTCCATTTCTGTCATGTTTTTTTGTCTCCGCATTTTTTATGCTTTCTTGGTGCACCCCCTAGTGGTCTTTGTGCGCAGTCTTGTTCTAGTTGAGCCTTGATTGTTGTAGTTAATACTAGAGGGATTTGACCACCAGGCCGACTGGCTGTGTGAATCAGCTGTGTCTGCCGCGGAAAACTTCTGTCCTCTGGGGAGGTGCTAATCTAGCCTTTGCCTGAGGCGATCTGGCAAATGGCTCTGCGCAGGGCTTGGGCGGGGCGGGCTCAACAGGGCGGGCGGAGGGAGCGGTTATGGCCCCTCTCAGTCCCGTTCCCAGAGGCTCTGCTTCTCAGAACCCCAGGAACCGCTGCAAACCTCGGAGAGAAAGCTGCCTTCCAACTGATGCCAGACACTCCCGCTTCTCCCGTTTGAGTCCGAGTCCCCAGCGATTCGCCCAGATCTGGAGCTCAGAGTCTGAAACTCCCTCCGAAAACGACAACCGCGCCCTCAGCCACCAGCCCGCTTTGCTCGCGCACCTCCGCACCTGAGTATTTTCCACACTGCGCCTCCTCTGAGCCTCGGTATGCTGTTGTCTTTCCTTCTAGTTGAAGAGTCTCTCCTCAGCCAGCCTTCCTGTGGTTCTGGGTGATGTCCGTTCCGTCTTTTAGTTGTATTTTTGAAGTGGTTGTTTGCAGCAGCAATCTCCGGTGTTTACCTATGCCGCCATCTTGGTTTCCCAATTTTTGTAATTCTTTATTGGAAGGAAAGTCAGGCCTGGAAGGAAGCATTGTTGGTGAATTTTGGGGGCTTACTTGCAACAGAGTTGCAAAATAATTGGGAATTCATCTGGTCAATAGCTCTTGAATGCAAGCAAGAGGCTATAGAAATTTATAACTTCTGGAAGTTTATAACCCTTCATGAGGAGATATACATGTCTGCAAATGATTACAGTGCTGGGAGTGAAGTACAGAAATAAAACCTTGTAGAAGTACAACTGTACTTTAAAAAAAAAAAAAGCCCAGCCAAATTGGGAATGGGAGTACTGTATCAGGGAAGGCTTTCCGAAGGAGGTGACAACTGAGTTGGGTTTCAAAACAAAAATGGGAAGTCACTAAAAAAGAGGTTGGGGCCTGAGGTGAGGAAACAGAAGGGCCATTTGGGGCAGATGGAGCCATAGGCATACATGGCAAAGTGAAAAAGCTCAATGTGTTTAGGTTAGTTCATGAAGGTGAAAGCTTTGAAATGTTGAAGAGCAAGGCTTCTACTAGACAGCAGAGGTGATTTCTGTGAAGGCAACCACTCCAGGAAAGGCGTTTATTTAACTCATGGAGAAAGGAGCCCTGTGCTTTATTATGGCCCAGAAAATTATTTATCTACACTCTGCATGGATTTATTTAATTTAAATGTCTTATTTTGAGATCATTTTATAATTGCAGAAGTACCACAAAAATAGTACAGGGAGTTCCTGTATACTCTTCTCCCATAGGGATTTATTTAAAGAGAAACAAACAACACCCGCCAAAACAATGACAACAACAATAACAAAATCACTGCAGTAGTCAAGCCTTCCAAGGTTGTGGCCAGTAATTTAGTTCAGTTTCCACACCTTCTTTGTTCTAGTACTATTTGGCAATTAAAGCAGGTACTGGTGCCATCAGAAAGCCTTCTCTGCCATCTCTTGATTTTGCTTAGTTATTATTTTCATAATGTAAAACATATTTTGGGCCCTGGCTGGTGTGGCTCGGTTGGGTGTCATTCCATGCACTGAAAGGTTGCCAGTTCGATTCTCTGTCAGGGCACATGTCCAGGTTGCAGGCTCGATCCCCGGTAGGGGGTGTGCAAGAGGTGGCTTATGTATTACTCTCACATGGATGTTTCTCTCTCTTTCTCCCTCTTCCTTCCTCTCTCCCTAAAAGTCAATCAAAAAATCTTTTTTTTTAAAAAAGAAGTATTTTGGATTCTGGAGTAATTGTTAAGTATAAAAAGACAAGAATGAACCACCATCTGATTGAACCTTTAATAACATTTTGGTTTATTTCCTGCTAGTCTTTAAAAATAATTTTTTTAAATATAATGTTTTTATTGATTTCAGAGAGGAAAGGAGAAGGGTAGAGAGAGAAACATCAATGGTGAGAGAGAATCATTGATTGGCTGCCTCCTGCACACCTCCTACCAGGGATTGAGCCTGAAACCTGGGAATATGCTCTGACTGGGAATTGAACCATGACTTCCTGGTTCATGGGTTGACTCTCAACCACTGAGCCACACCAGCTGGGCCCTTCTAGTCTTTATTTACTTTTTAAGTATGGTTGAGATCACACTGTAAATGCAGTTTTTTCTTCTTCCTTTCCCACTTAACATTATAGTATAAATGGTTTTTCCAAATAATTAAACACTTCATAAATATTTACAATGGCTGTATAATATAGCATTACATGGATTCTTGGGCATAGATTATTCTATTTTTTTTTTTTTGCCATTGTAAATAATATATGATTGATGTTTTTGCAAAAAGCTTTTTCTGTAGTTCAGAAAATTGTCTTAGGCTAGATTCCCAGAAGGACCCAAGGGTATGAAGATTTTTAAAAAATAAACCTTTTATATTAAAATAGTTTTAGATTTAGTATGAACACTTTTAAGGTACGTCATCAGAATTTTCCAGAAAGGTTATGCTAGTTTATTCTTCCCACCAACTGGAGATAAATACACTCATCAGCATTGGGTGGTCTTAAGAAAAACATTGCAACTTAATAGGTTAAAAATGGCTTTTCATTGTTCTCATCTTTTAAAAAAATTTTTTTGTAGGAAAAGTTACCAAGGTAGATTTTATTTTTATCTGTTAATAGTAGACAGACACTGTATGCTTTATTACTATTTAAGTATTTTTTATACTTACTTTAATGTATTAGAAGTGGTGCCTTAACATATTTTTTCATAGTCTTAAGTTGGTTATTTTTAAATTTGTAGTATGTAGTACAATACATATAGCATAAAATTTACCATTTTGAAATGTACAGTTCAGTGACATTACAGTACATTCACCATGTTGTATAATCATTGCCACTCTAGTTCTAGAGCTTCTTCATCACTCCAAAGGAAACTGTATCTATTAACTCCATTCCTCCTTCCCCTAGCCCTGGCAGCCACGAATCTGCTGCTTCTGTCTCTGTGGATATGTTTATTCTGGAATCATATGAATGGAATCATAGATGGCCTCTCAAGATCTTTTAAAGCAGGAAGAAAAGATGAATTAAAGTTTGAATTGAATCTATGTATTATAGTTTGAAAATTAACAATCCAGCTATGGCAACACTCTTGACTTGAACACATTTACTTGGTTAAGATGCCCATTCCTAGTTTATGATTGTTGGTGCACAGAGGGCTACGGGCCTTGGAGTAGGAAGGAACCTAAAATAGGGACCAAGACAGGAAGTGTCTGGTGGTGCTTGGAGAGAGAAAGCCAGTGCAGTGACAGCACATTCCAAGGCTGGGGCTATACAGGGAATTCCTGGAAGTTAACCTCTATTGCAGTGTGATTCGGAGAACTTTCAGGTAAAATGCTTCTCTGTGTAATAAAAAAATAGCAACACTGCCCACCCAACCAGCGTGGCTCAGTGGTTGAGCATTGACCTATGAACCAGGAGGTCATGGTTAGATTCTCGGTCAGGGCACATTCCCAAGTTGGGCTCAATCCACAGTGTGGGGTGGGTAGGAGGCAGCTGATCATTGATTCTCTCTTATCATTGATGTTTCTGTCTCTCCTCCCTTCTGTGAAATCAATAAAAATATATTTAAAAAAATAGCAGCACCAACAAATAGCCTGAAAACTAATAAATAAGTTTGCGAAAGTATCCAATACATGAGGCCTCAGGAAAAGTCTGAAATTTTGCTTAAGAGTAAGAATGGTATTGGGGACAACAAGAAAGGGTCCAGGGGTGTCTGTTTCTCAGTGTTTGACATCTTCACTGGAAATCTGAGTGGTGGGAAATTGTGCTTCTAAGTACAGTACGTGGTTTTCATTTTTCAGGTAGAGTTTTTTTCCAAAATGGAAGGGAGGTCTTCCCATTCGTTAGATTAGGCACCCACTGAGATGGAATGCTTGATATAGATAGAGGATTTTATTTATTAAACCAAATGTAGCCTCCACGGTAAATTCACAGGTGGGCAGGCCAGTGTCTTACTTTGATTAGTCTGAATCATTTCCCCAGAGCCCGATCCTCTTGGGGGTGAGTTGGGTGCACATGAACCAGAAAGCCAAGATCAGAGCTTCCTTGGGGATTCCTTAGTCCCCACGTAGGCAGTGGCCTAACTGACTTTATTTCAGCAGTTTTTATGATTCAGCAGTTAAAGACAGAAGATTTTTGTAGCAAGTATTCAGTAAGGAGTGTACTTCAGTGTTCAGTGATTTCAGTCTATTCCTAGGTATGTGAAGAATAATATGACCTCATGTTTAAGAGCAGGGTTTTGGGGCCAGTGTTTGAATCCTGCCTGTGCCACTTACCTAGGTGTGTGACCAGTGACAAATTACTTAATCATTCTGGACCTTGGTTTCCTCATCTGTGCAGTGCGATTGTTATGAGGATTAAAGGACTTAATCATGTCAAATACTTAGGACAGTGTCTGGTGTTATAAGTGCTAAGTAAATATTAGCTTAAGTTATCACCATTGAATAACTCATAGAAATGTATACTTGAAACCTATATGATGCTATTAACCAATATCACTCCAATAAATTTAATAAAAATAAAAACCGGATTAAAAAAAGGGAGAAATAGTTGAAATAATTTCTGCAGCAAACATTTATTTTTTTAATTTTAATTTTTTATTTACTGATTTTAGAGAGGAAGGGAGAAAGAAAGGGATAGAAACATCAATGATGAGTGAGACTCATTGATGGGCTTTCTCCTGCATGTCACCGTCAGGATTGAGCCCGAAACCCAGGCATGTGCCCTGATGGGGAATCGAATCATGACCTCCTGGTTCATAGGTCAACGCTCAAATGCTGAACCACACCGGCCTGCAGTACAGTAAACATTTATGAAGTTCCTACTGTGCGCTAGACCCTGGGACCGTAGAGATGAATAGGAAGTAGTCTCTGCCTGTGCACTCCTAGGCTACTAGGTAAACTGGCACATTAGCTGGTAATTCCTTTTTATCTTTTTTAAAACAAATAGTGTACAACATTTAAATGATATAAGAAAGTATACAGAGTATTAGCCTCTTTCTTTTCCCCTGTCCCCAGAAATCTATTCTCTTCCCTAGGGGCAGCTAGCATTACCAGTTTAGTAAAACAGTGTGTGTTTACATAGTACGTATATTACTTACTGTTTCTCCATCAATAGGCAGCATATTATACACACTGCTACACTGTTTTTGTGCCTTTTTAAAACATTTAATTTATATTGGATATAGTTTCATGTATAGAGCTTCCCTACTGTTTTTTATTTTTAATCCTCACCTGAGGATATGTTCATTGATTTGAGAGAGAGAGAGAGAGAGAGATGAGAGAAACATCTATCAGTTGCCTCCTGCATGCACCTTGACCAGGGATTGAACCTGAAACCTAGGCATGTGCTCTGACTAGGAATTGAACCTGCAACCTTTCCGGGGTATGGAATGATGCTCCACCCAGCCAGGGCTTTCCTACTGTATTCACAGTTGCATTGCAATCTATGTATGGACGTACCTTCTTTAACCAATCTTGCTTTGATGGAAATTTAGGTGGTTTCCAATCTTTTGTTTTACAGTGTTGACATGAAGGTCCTTTTTACATGTAAACTTTTGGAGGAAAAAGTTGCTAAAAGTGCACTTGCTGGGTGTTGTCTGTGCATTTAAATTTTTGATAGTTGTTGCTAAGCCATCTTCCATTGGGGTGGCTCTAGCTCATGCACTTGCCAGCACTGAATGCGAGTGAAAAGTAAATTCAGGTCACTGTATGCAGTGCAATGTTAGGAAGCCCAGGAAGAGTGACTGGCCCTGCTAGGGGGGTAACAGGAGGCTTCACAGATGTAGTGACATTTTCAGGGAGTGACCTTTTAATGCACAGGTAGAAGTTTTCCAGGTAGAGAAGAGCATTTTAGATAGAGGAAGTGACGTGTGGAGTCAAGGAAAGGTTATGTGGAGGGTAAGTTAGAAGTTGGGTCTGGCTGACACATAAGATGAGGAGACTAGATGAGGGAGTGTGGGCACAGTGAAGTTCAGGGGGCAGGATAGAGCCAGGAGATGCAGTTATTGGGTTAAACAGTGGTCAGGTGGCAAAGACCCTGGGTGGTAATGAGGTGGTTGAAGTGGTTGAAAGATACTTGAGAGAATTTACAAACCAGTTTTTCAGCAACCATTTATTACCTGAAGACAAGTTTCTATTTCTAGACTTGTAGGGCATGAATGATAAAGCGCCTGGAGGGCTTCAGTGCAGAGGTGTTTTATCAGGGGGTTTTCTGTGCTCTGTAGGCCCATAGGGTTTCTTTTTCCCCCATAGGGTTTCTTGGTGCAGTTTCATGTGCTGGATTTGGGAGTGTATAGGCTTTGAATCCCACTCCCCCACCCCCACTAAGTGAACAGAGCCTCTGATTGAGTCTGTTTCATATATTGGGGTTCTATGTGATACTTCTTTCTGAAAACAAACAAATAAACAAACAAACAGTGTTCACAGCTAGAATCATGGATCTAATACCAAACCTGTGTTGACCCATACATAAATAGAAGCCTGGAGGATGTGTGGTGCCATTCTTGTATTCTTTGTTTGCAGTGCCGAGAGGTGATCTGTATAAAAATGAGAGTGAAAATGGTTGGTATTCTGGGGATTTTTTAAGCATTTAGTTGGGACTTTTGCTTATTTGGTTTCTTTCTTTTTTAAAATCTTTATTGTTGAAAGTATTACATAGGTCCCATTTTCCCCCCTATTGATCCTTTCTAGCCCGAGTTTCTTCCCTTTTTTTTTTTTGTTTTTGTTTTTGTTTTGTTAAAGCTTATTGACTCACCAGTGAAATACAGTAAGATTGTTTTGCTCACTATGGTCAAGGGTGCCAAGGGATTTACATATATTTTGTCTACTTCTCAAAACTATCTGGTGATGGGGAGGGAGTATTGTTGTAAGTCCATTTTGCAAGTGAAAAACTTAACCTCTTGAGGCTCAGAGAGGTTAAGTAATTTGCTCAAGATCATGAAAATCCTAAGTGGTGAAGTAAAAAATCAGATGCAGATCTGGAGCTGACACTAGAGCCCACACCCTTCACAACAACACTGGACAAACAATTCATGTTAAGGCATTCCTAGGGTAGGGAGAAGCCAGCCATCTGTACAGTGGAAGGGCACAGGTGGAATGCTATGGACTTTCTCGTCCTTGGCTGTGCGCTGTTGCCCATCCCGAAGGAGCAGCGCTGGTTTCAGAGTGAATCAAAACAGCGCTGGATTGCTCTCCCACTCCTTTCCCTTGTGTTCTAGCAGTGTCAGCTGAGAACTGTGGGAAGGGTGACATGTGCTCCCCTCCCAAGCCTGTTGTGGGGATTGGAAGCCACTGGAAAACTCCATGTAGAGTCCCCCCTTCAGTATGCAGGGCTGTGAGCAAGGCCAAGGTTCCTGGTAGGGTTGGGAAATTAGACAGGAGCTAAGTACCTATTTATTTGTTTTTAAAATGTTTTTATTGCTTTTTTTAGAGTGAGAGGGAGAGAGATAGAAACATCAATGATGAAAGAGAATCATTGGTTGGCTGCCTCCTGCACTCCCCCCTTACTGGGGATGGAGCCCACAACCCGGGCATGTGCCCTGACTGGGGATTGAACCAGGGACCTCTTGGTTCATTGGTCGGTGCTTAACCATTGAGCCACACCGGCCGGGCCGTACCTATTTCTTTTCTCCTGTGCACCTTCCCCCATAAACAAACAAACTGCTGCCTTTCTGCTTTTCTAACCCAGTGAATCTCCAGTGAGATAGTGGAGGGAATCATGTATAATTTCAATAATACAATATAGTTTTCTGTGTTGTAGAAGTCATAACTTTTTAAACATAATCATACTTTTGATTACGAAGCATACTATTAAAAGGAAAACTTAAAATTGGATTGACTAGAAGTGCTGTGCAGACCCAGAACACAGGAGAGGCCCTGGCTGGCTGCAAATTGAGTGGTGTCTTCTCCGTTTGGGGCTAATAGTCCTCTGTGGTGATGGGAGGGGCATTTCCTAGTAGACTCCCCTCCTTGCTCCCCCCCCAGGAACGATCACTTCCTACTGAATACAGATCTCTGCTTATATAGCACAGTCACACTTTTTGCATAATGTAACACTACCAAAGTTCCTCTAGGCTAGCACAGTGGT